GGATACGAGATAAAACCGACGACGGCGAGGCAGACAAAATAGAATTTTCCGAAAACGTTCTTCCTTGAAAAGACAATATACCTTAAACAATCTAATCAACAATGACTAGATATTTAAAAATCTTACTTTCTTTAGAGACAGAAACTAAGTAGAGCTGCCAGCGATGAGAGCAAGCGTAAAAGTTTTTCAAAGTTAATTTATTAATCAATTATATGACAAACATCTAATAGAGGACAGTTCTGAATAGATAGATAGATAGATAGATAGATAGATAGATAGATAGATAGATAGATGTCTTTGTTATCTAGCTAGCTAGCTAGCTAGATAACAAAGATATATAAGAAAACATGAGATGTATCGAGAGAATATTACAGAGAGAGAAATATCAGACAAATAGAGAGATACATAGACAGTTCTGAACAGACTGCAATAGAAACATAGATAGAAGGTTTGTGAAAGAAAGATACAAATACCAAGACAGATAGATAGATAGATAGATAGATAGATAGAAGGTTTGTGAAAGAAAGATACAAATACCAACATAGATAGATAGATAGATAGATAGATAGATAGATAGAATGTTTGAGAAAGAAAAATACAAATACCAACATAGATAGATAGATAGATAGATAGATAAACAGACAGAGACCTAGATAGGTAGGTAGACATGTAGGTAAATAAGTAGATTTTATCATAATTTTGAAATTGCTAACTATAACCGTAAGTCCTATCCTGTTTTTTCTGTCGTTCTTTTCGTCTCTGGAACTCACTTCCGGTTTCCTGATTTTCTGTAAACTACAATGCAAGGTCAATCGTTGTCACGTATACTTTTCACTTCAATAATTTTTCACATTTTTATGCAATTTTAGTAACCCATTGTGTCGTAGAGGTTTTATTGCCTTAACTTGCTTGAAACGATAAAAAAGAACAGTGATCTATATACTGAGAGATAGATAGATAGATAGATAGATAGATAGATAGATAGATGTGTATAAACCCTCGGAAAAAGAGTTAGATCGATCGATTGCTCGTTCGTCAGATAGATAGCAACTCTGGTATATTTGTAAATTAATGGAATTAGCCTTGTCTCCAATTCCGTAATAATTAAAATGTTTGTTTGAGCGCTTCGAGCTGGGAGTAATGGTTAGTCTGGTTTTCTAATTGATCATTACTACCAAATACGGAATTTGATACTCGCTGGCTTAAAATTGTTGTTGATATGTGCCAAACTAAACTCTGCTTAGCAGATATCTAGATATGTATTAAATTAAACGCCAACCACGCGCAAATCCACCACGCCCATATACTTATGAACTGATAAAACAAAAACACTTTTCATTTAAAAAATGATTTATTTTATAATCATTATGATTTTTCCGCCTTTGTTTTCAACAATCAGATACCTTTGATAGTTTTATAGATACATATAGATACTATATTTCTAACCATACATTCATTATATATATATATATATATATATATATATATATATATATATATATATTTCGTTGGATTGATGTGAGATTGAACCTGGGTCTCACGCTTTTGCGATCGTCAGACAGGAGTTTGTCTGACGATCGCAAAAGCGTGAAACCCAGGGTCACAAACTCATATCAATCCAACCAAATATGTTAGCTCGAGTTCTCATATTGAGCGCTTTCTAATAAGTACTGCGCATATAATACATAAATAATAATATATATAATATATTACACACACACACACACACACATATATATATATATATATGTTTATATTTATGTTTATATATATACACACACTTTTCACACACACTCACACGCACGCACACACACACACACATATATAAGCAAATATGTGGATATTTTTTTATATATAATATATATATATATATATATATATATATATATATATATATATATATATATATATATAAGAAAATTGATAGAATTCGACATATTTTTATGTTTAAACATTACATTTGATGGATACTCATGTTCAAGGAATCTTGTCGGAATAATATGCGTCCACCGGCAGTGTTCGAACCTGCATGTCCTATGGGGAAACGTCTTTCAATCTGACGTGCCTAAATTCAAAATAAATTAAAATTAAAAACAATATATGTCAGAATTAATCCATTCCATTAAATAAATTGTCTTGTTTTAACTTACGAAACGAAACAAAACAGATATGGTTGTTTAGAGAATCCTGTTCGAAGCGCTCTTCCGAATGAATTTGACCGTACATCCTGCGTGACCGAGCGGCTATGCACGTCAGACACAATATTGTGTCTGACTTGATGTGAGTGTGTGTGTATCTGTGTGTGATGTATCCTTAGCAAAAAGTAGATATAAAAAGGTTTTATGGAAACCTTAAACTATAACGTCTTCGTCCTAAGACGCTGTCAAGTTTTGGGACTTCTAATTGATTAACTTCTAATTGATTAACTTTATATATATATATATATATATATATATATATATATATATATGCAAACTATTCTATAAAGAAAGAAACTCATATTCAATACGCGGATATTTAAATGAAGAATATAGAACTTCTAAGACAAAAACACCAGGATGAAAATGAATAATAGGATTTGCGACTGTAACGGATAATGTTAATGTCCCTGAGATTGAAGAGAGTCAATTGAGTATTTGAAAATAATAAAAATATGAACTATGTATAGATTTTTCTAATTTGATATATATATATATATATATATATATATAAATATAGATAACTAGACTCGTTTCGAAAAACCCTCGAATTTTTGATTTGCTAATCAAATCAATCTCGAGGGAAAAAAAGGTTTTAAAAAAAAGAGCTACAAACATGAACTTCTGCCGACAAAAAATCGCACAGATGCAGGTCTGAAGCCCAAAGAAAAAACCCCGATACGAGTAACAACTAACTAACAAAAGAGCTCAATACAACCGTAGAGCAGACCTAGATACACCTATTGAGTTAGACAAACCTACCTTAGGTTTCACCTAAACGGATCGTCAGGGAAAGTTTGGCTCCAAACTTTCCCCTGACGATCCGTTTAGGTGAAACCTAGGTAGGTTTGTCTGGTTCACTAGGTGTGCATCTATCTATCTATATATATATATATATGAATACAAAGAGATACTTTACAAAACAACAATAGATAATTCTTTCTTCGTAATAGATATTAACGTAATTTGCTCGGAAACAATGGTTTTAATCAAAAGTGAAATAATTTATTATGTCTTTTCTATAAATAATTTCATGATAATTTATCTGATTGGCGGCAAGGTCTCACCATTTTACAGTCGAAATGGATAAATGTAACCGTAAGCTCTATGCTGATATATTCTTCTTCTCGCACTTCTCGCTTGTGGAAGGGAACTCTCTTCCAGTTTCTTGCTTTCCAGTCAAGTTTGATGTTCATAAATCTATATGCCTTGTTATTTGTTATCTGCTGCACTCTTAAATAATGTGTGATTTTATAGGTATCTCCCATTAATAACGCTTTTCTCATCTTTCAGACTCAGTACCCCAAACCTGTTAGTAGTTCTGTTGCCTTACTTGGGAGCGAAATGATTCAAAATAAAACCATAACATATCTGAGTCCTCAACGCTAAAGCTACATCACGTATCATACAGCATATCATTTTTCGTAACAAAATAGATACTATTTCATTGTCGAATAAATAAAGACGTTAATGGTTAGAGTTGAATTAGCCTAGGAAGCTGAACTATTAAAAAGTGCTCAATACACATATAAAAAGATAAAAAAATTAACTTGTGCAGCTTATAATTCTAGAAAATTATGAAATCATCAGATTCTGCTACGTTGGTTGCAACCTTTCTATATCTTCTGGCGATTTCGGTCAATTGATTTCCTAAAGGTTTATTTTCCTAATTTTTTATACTTAAAAGCTTTACATGTTAAATTTTTATCTTTTTATATGTGCATTGAGCACTTTTTTAATACTATTGTTTTCTGGTCTAATTCAACTCTGACCATTAACGTTTTATGTTATATATATATATATATATATATATATATATATATATATATATATATATATATATATATATATATGATAGATGAGCAGACACTAAAAAAGCGTCTGCACAAAAATTGCTTAAGTAAAAATGGCATAAGTATTCGATGGCAGAAGTAGCAGAGCTTAATCTATTAAAGTAGATATTCTGCTAGGCACTAACCGGCCATGACTACTAGTTTCATGCATTGATCACGCAATCGTCAGGCGGTCGGTGGATGTAGTTTTGTAAAATTGGGACCCTATATACCACCAAGCGAGTTCAAGATGGCGAACCAACCAAACCCAGTTGGGCGCTCAGTAGTCGAGGAATCAGCAGCATTATTGAATTGCTCTGCTAGATAGGCTAACAGAACATAACACTACTGAGGAAGCCATCATTAACCGTATGTTGCACACACACACACACACACACACACACACACACACACACACACATATATATATATATATATATATATATATATCAAAATATTCTGCTACCTTGGTTTCAACCTTTCGGTATCTTCAGGCGATTTCGGTCAACTGATTTCCAAACACTTTATTTTTTTTAAAAATCAAATTTACGAACGCTATAATTTAAAAAAAAAATTAAAAAAAACAAATGAATAAGTGCACGACGTGTGTTGTGGTAGAAGGGGATCAGAAGGAGAATCTGTACTAGTAAATTATTCCAAATTAAAAAATATACATAGGGTGTACTTAGGGTAAATTTAAAAAGAGGTGGTACAATCATAAGGTATCTTTTAAGGTAGAAAACCTTAGAAATTCTACTAAATTTTCCAACCATGAGTGGTTGATAATATGATAATATATATTGATAATATAGGCGTAACGTATCTCCCCTCTGTCTTTTCCATAAATAATTTCATGGTAATTGTTTTGATGAACTTTCCTGTTTGGTATTTAATGAAAAAAGAGAAAAATAAAAAAGATGAGATTATAAACTGGAAAAGAACCTAATCCTTACAACAATCATAGAAACAA